CTACGAAACACACGTGTCAAGAGAAGCACGTACGCACCCAAACAACATCAATAAAATCGAAACATGTCCAAAATCGGGTCATAAAATGTCTTAAAGATGTCTTATATCCCAATTTTCGATATATTGCTGCCTGGGCGATGTTCTTTCGGCGGAACCGGATATATCTGCTGGAGTCACAATTATAGCGATTCCAGGCAATATTAAAGCGATAATACTGAACATGTATGTATCGAAAGGCGATATCATCTTGGATATAAATCCCTTTTTCTATCACATAGACTAAATATTAGTCCCCGACACGATGCTTAATATACGTAATGTGCATATAAAATGCGTACATTATACACAGTAATATGTACACACGGGGATATAACGACGCTTTTTCTCTCTTTCTCTCTCTCTCTCTCTCTTCATGGAATATTGTAATTTACAATACTATACAATATAATACTTACATAAATTGACAAACGTACCGAGTGAAATTAATCTCGACCCAAGGGTCATTGTGAATATGTTAAAATCTTTCTATCTTTAAACGCAGAGAAACGTATTGTACTAAAAACGTGTTATAATCAGAGTGTATGATCTAAATTATTCGCACGATGTCAGAAGATTGTCACCTGGACATTGTCTACTATATTATAACTAAATGCACATTTTACGTTGCGAAATGCTACTCATCGTTCTCTCCTCGAAGAGATGCTACTATATCATGCACAATTTCACCAAGATTCACACATATATTATCATTCGTTTACACCCTTTTCGCAGAATTTGCAATGATATCTTGATACGATTAATTCGAGTTAAATTTATGGATTATATTTCCTTAACAATTGCGCACTTGTGTTTTTGTCTTTTTTAAAATTTTTTTAAATGTTAAGGTTTTAATTATTATCAGAAACTTGCAAACAGTTCCTTTGTTTGTATTACGGTACGTCCGTATGTGTAAAATCTTATCTAAGTTTAAAACATTTTGAAAATGCATTTACTTGACAAAGTGATAATACTATAGTGAGCACAAAAAAATCATTTTCCATCACTCTGTCACACGAGGTTCCGTGCGATTTTGCTGGCTCTCGAACTTATGATGACTTGCGTCATCGGCTCAATTTTTTACTCGATAATGCATTTTACTTTTCAGAACGATTACTTTTATAAAATCAAAAGATTTTCTGAATATTTTTAATAAATAATTTTGATTAAATTAAAAAAATAAAATGTAGGAATTGCTTATCTACACAAGGAAGACTATAAATTCCAATTAATTGCATTGCAAAAGTTAAGATAGTTTATGCAGTGAGTACTTCAGGATCGAGCACATTCGAGAGCTTCTAAAGCTTCCAAAAATAGATCGCGTGGCAGCTTCTAAATACTTATCTAAATTTCGTCGTATACGAAGGCAACTATTCGAAGACACATGCGCAATTGGTATGATTACACGTACTTTTTTTATTTACGCGTGCTTGATGGAAGAACTAAAATTCTCGCTGAGCTCAAAAAGATGAATAAGAGTCTATCGGAATTGTATATATTAAATTTTTATCGCAACTTTCACGATTATAATTTAATAATATAATTTTGTAGACTTTATTCTATTTTCAGGAAATTCGAAAATTTTTGCTCCAATTTTTTTTTCCTTTACAGTTTACGAGAATTGTTCTTGAATTTTAAAATATATCTAAGCTCTGGAATTAGCAAAATCTTAGGCTTTCGCCAAACATATATTGCCGAAAAGTTCGTTCGTGAAATTATCGTTATTATTTAATAAATAATTAATTTAATGTTATTAATATTATCTTTATCCATCGGCCGTCTTTGAAGAAATTAATTTTTGGATTTTAGGCTTAAACTCTGAAGATAACGTTTGCAAAAATTTAAGCGTAAGTTTTATATTCGAATTAATTTGCCATGTACTACTAATCTCGTTATCTTTTAATATATTAGTAATAACTATAATCTGGCATACTAACTTTTGTTATCTTCTGATATATTAATATAGCTAATTAAAACCTGAGTATATCCGCTCGGCTTGACAAGGCATTAACGATCCGTTATTTTATTTTACGTTCGTCAGAAATTTATCAATTATCAAATACTGAGATATCGGACAAGGTTCTGCCGAAAATAATTCGACAAATAAATTTTTATAAAATATGAAGAGGGAGGGAGTCTTGATATATTTGATGATTAGTCTTAATTTCTTAACGAAAAGGCGAGATAAAAAAATGACAAATCGTTAATGCTTTGTCAAGTAAATACTGCGACCGTCCGTCCTTGTGAGACTCATCGGCGGACTGGTAGGTCGAAGATTGCGTTCGGTGGAATATACTTTCAGACGACCACAGCCTCGTAGGAATGCCCTTTCGACAGCTCTAATTATTGTGCCCGTCGCTTGCCGGAAAAATTATATAATTTATGACTTCCTGTAAAAAAATGCAATATGTTATTCGAATATCCGTAAATGGTCTTATTAATATGAACCGAGATATGCGCTTTGAATAATTAATGTTTTTCAAATATGATAGTTGCGTTCAGAACTTCATTGCAAGTATTTGAAATATAATGTACATAATGTGAAATATAGTTATATGTAAAATATAGTTTATTATTGATAGTGAATCAGAATTTTGTAGCTTATATTTGCAAATTATTTTGAAAACAAGTTATTGAGAAATATCTCAAAAATCTTTCCTTGATTGATATCTGATATAATTACATATCATTATATAAATGCGATTTAAAAATTCTTAGAGAAAAACAGTTTTAATTATCTGATAGATTTCCTCTAATGATACATACAAGCAATAATTAACGTGATCAATTACCATGATCGTCCGTTAACTGCGCTCATAGCCACATAAAAATTAGTCTTACTACGATCAGGGCGCGTCGAAATCTTGATCTCCGACCAGGTACAGAAATTGAAAGGCAATCGCAAGCAGGCTGATCCCGAGCAAATCACCCATCGCGGTCAGATATGGGATAGCCGAGTTGTCGGGATCGATCTTTCGTTTCCACATCCAGTGGATCATTATGTAGGCGATGTAGAGGAGCGCCGCGACCTGCAGCATCGCCGCGCAGAGGTAAACGAAGACGAAGAGCGGCGTCATCGACGTATTGCCGTCTTTCATGTAATTGATCAGGTAAATGAAGATGATGTGGCCCGGTATCACCATCATCATCAAGACCCTCGTCGTCCTGGCGTGCATACCTGAAGGAAGCAAATGACGAGCATGAAGGAGCATCCTGATGACGAGAAAAAATTCTGATTACTTATCGAGGAATGAAAGAATACCTTTCCCGAAAAAATTAGCGATAGGAGTGATGAAAATGACGGGATGCGTATGACCCGGTGGAATTAGAAGCGTGCCAAGTTCGGCTTGCTTGTGAAGCGCCGTTGATATCCTGCTAGCTTGGACGGCCACCAGATTTCCGCCGACACCGTTGATGACTGGTTGAAACACCGTCAGGTTCTCGAAACGCGACACCATGAATTCCAGTATGAGACCGCCGCAACTGTATAGAAAATTTTGCATGAAATATGACATAATAAAGTAGTAGGCAATCTAACAATAGACCTTTGATAGATACATTATTCATCGGCAAAACTCCAAGACTATAGACTTTCTTTTTTACCTGCTGATTAACATAGCCACCATGACCGGTGTCCAGCCAAAGTAGAGCACGTCGTTGGTATACTTGTTCTTCTTGGCAATCCACACCCAGAGCGGTGTCACTAGGATGTAGCAGGCTATGACGAGGGGCGCTACCCAATCTTGCTTGTCTATACATTCGTAGAGCACGGTGGCGATCCAAGAGAGAAGTGCCAAGGACGTGATGTCGCCAAGACTGGCGGCTATCGGCGTGGCCACGTTATCCGGATTGATATGGCAATGACGGGAGAAGACGATTACGCCCGCGGTAATAAGGCCCAGAACAAAGGAAGCGAGGGACGCGGTGACCAAACTGCTGGCGCATAAAAGATAGGCGTGATCCAAGGAAACCGTGCCATTGCGGAAGGCACCCATCACGATCGCCACCACGGAACCCAGGAAGCCCACCACTATTGCTTGGCACTACAAGATTGAGATACATTTATGTTTATAAAGCAACAGATCTACTGCATGTATATAATAAAAATTTGTAAAGTGAGAGAAACAGACTTTCTTACTTATTTCTCTTGAATTTTTTTATGCTTGCTTTGAAGAAGCATGGATGATTATAGAGTTTAAAATTATATAAAATTTTAATAATATTTAATTTATAAAATATTTAGAGAATTTTGTGGAAAAAATTTAAAAAATGATAGGATATATATATAAAAGAAAAATGTCAAGAAGTTTGATATAATATGATTCTTTATATTCTGTGGGGAAAATGTTCTAATTTTATACAGAAATTTCAAAGATACATCAGTTTATCTCGTATAGATATTGATTCACGATATGGAAATACACGTATCGTTTAAAGCGCGATGTTTTATGAAGTAACCAGCATGTGCTCACAAAAGATCAGCAAACAGTCGGCTTCGAAGGCCAAATAAAATCGTGGCGCCAGTATGATAAGACGGCCGGAGTGCATAGCTCAATTTGCTAAATCGAATGGCTAGGAAAAACGTTGCTTACTTTCTTAGAATTGTGTCGCCGGCTCGTTTCACAATTAACTGTTAACTACTGATCAAATTAACGCGTCACATCATAGTATTCTCTGGCAATTTACGATTTCCAGGATGCATCAACAATGACGATCGTTTCATAATGGGCAAATAGCAGCAATTTATTGTAATGTGCCAATTTCATCAATTTCATCAATTTATTGTCAATTAGCAAAGTCACGAGAATATCGTGCCACTGATTTAAAACTAATGAAAATTCGCTAATTTATTAGTAGAAAAGGTTGAACTTGAACTTAAAAAAAAACGTAATGCGTGCACCCGTGGATATATTTATGATGCTAGATGATAAGAAATCGGATGATTAATAGCGCATAACTTTTCCGTGTTCTTTGTCACACAGTTGTTTAACTAGAAGCAAACGTGTGATCGAAGAACGTCGATTAGAACAAAGTACTAGAGGTTTCAAGGAAAAATTATACGATATAGAATTATGTGTTTGGCAATGTATTTAAGTTATGACTCCTTTTCGCATGACGAATGGTAAATATCGGTGTTTAATTGTGGAATATCTAGTTAGAACCAGTTTCGCTAAAGTAAAGTCTGAACTTAAATACGAAAGGACTGATGGAGTATATCTTGTTACATTGCTTGGTTCGATCTAGAGCGTTAGAATATGTATTATCAGAATAATGCTCCGTTGACGATTTGTGTTTGATTTCGCGTATATTAATAATTGCAACTCAGAATTAGATTATTAAAGAAATCAAATTTCTTAACGGTTGTATCAGAAAAATTCATTTATATTCTGTGATAGAATCATCTATTATTCTCACCTGTATTAAGACGAGATTCCCAATAATCATGTGCCATTGCTCCTTCGGCATGTCCATGTGTCCGAGATTCGCTTGAGTAGAAAGACGCGACGCCAGGGTCATTTCTAGATTACCCTTCAGTCCTAAAAGTGCTGGTACCAGAATCATGAGCTCGTTGACCTTCTCAAAGACTACCCAGTGCTGCAAATAAATGAAAACAAAGATTTGTTAACAATGTAAAGTTTTGAAAATCAAGCTAATTTGAAATAAATTGACTAATTACTTGGACCAGGTCGAGAACCAATCCTGCGCCCACCATGCCCAGGCCGGCGATGAGGAAGGGTATGAAGACCTGGATGGTGATCGCCAAATACGACTCGAGTGGCTCGTTCTCGTCAGCCACACCGTAGATTTTACTCTCGGCGACGACATCCGGCAGCCGGCCGCCATCGGCACCCTCGTCGAAGATGGTCACCTCGAAGCTGTTGTCCTCGGTGTTGTGTCCGCTACCGGTGGTGGAGTTCACCGAAGCTGTCTGTCCATTGGTATTAGTTTCCTTCGATTCGGAAGTGGTCCGCGACCGGCCATCGGTCGGTGTCATCCTATGGGAGTTCTGCTTCTCCGGAAGCAGGGGCTCCTTACATTGCTCACTGCCGACAGAAGGATAGTTTCTCATTGATGTCGATCAGATGACTTGAAGGATACTCATTAATCTTTTGTGACAATCGTCAATGGATGGTCAAGGCGAAACGTTACGATTTATCAACACTTTCGAACGAAATCGACTTATCAATACCTTCGTACGAAATCGATAAATGTGTAATTCTACGATTCGGTGACGGAATAATGAAATATTATGTCACGATTATATGGTACATTTGTCTTTTTGATTTCGAGCTGTAAAATTAAAAATGATTAAATAGAACATCGATATAAAGCAGCTCTTGATACAAGTTTTCTATTACAATTTTTTAATTTAATCACAGTTTAATATTATTTTATTTTTTTAAATCATATATTGATTGCAATTTTTACTTGCCGATCGATTATCGCACTGAGTTTCGTAGTCCAAGTCAGGTAAGACGCGTGACAATTAAGATTCGGGTGATGAAAAAAATAAAAACCCTAATTTCGATTAAACAATTCGAGACGAATCGATGCTAGATGAATGAGCGAGTGTAATTAGTTAATTGTGGCACGTGTAAAATGTGTAAATCCATAATTAATCCCATCGTACGATTTTATTTGAACACCGTCACCTAACAACTTCAATCGTTTATGCGCTAAACGTGGATCGCGCATCGTTGCACATTTTGCAATGTTTTGATTCGAAATTTTTAATTCTCGTTACGTGAGATACGTGAGGCGCACGATATATTTTCTGCACAATATTTTTTTGAACATACTTTTCGAATTTGATGCCGGTATTGGCGGTCTGGGACGGTTGTGACTTGTCGGGCGGCACTAGTACCGGATGTTGATGCACCTGGCCCTCTAACATCTTCCTACTGAGGGCTGCGTGAAACTCGTTGCCGCGAATATATAGCCATTCTCCTTTGAGAATGATAAGGCTCACGCCGTCGACGACGGCGACGACGACGACGACGACGACGACGACGACAGTTGTATTTCAGGACGCAAATAATGTAAATTACGTAATTATGCCGGAGAAAGAGCCACTATCTCCCTCTTCTCTTTCTCTCTCTCGTCGATTAGATTCTTTTGAGAAACTGCTGTCGGCTAATCACGGCGAAAATCAAAATATCAATCAGCGATGTGCCAGAAGAAAGGTAACTGGCCTCTTCCTGTGGAGGATCACTGTCAAAGAATCGTCATGTTAATCTAATCGTAAGTTTAGCAGACCACGTAAAATACTATAATCAGAATCTCATAAATTCATTATTTAAGAAGACTCAAAGCCTGTTTAATAATATATTAGCAAGGATAAATTAATAATACCATTTTCTAATTTTGGAGAAAATTAATATCTTCTCAATGTATCGATATATATTTATTAAATAATTTTCCGCAGATAGACATTTATAGAAAAATGAAGATTTATTAACGTTTTTCGTATCGATAAATTTAATTCTTTCATAGCGAGAATTGATTGATTATTTATTTAGATATTATTTCTAAATTTTTGCCTAAGGAAGACATTATGAAATAATCTCGTCATTATGTGCTGAAACTGTTCTACATAATTCCGTGATTTGCGTTGTATTTGTGAATAAAGTTATCGCGTATATCAAGCAGATAATATCATGAATAAATGTTTCATACGAGCCACGTTTGCCGTTAATTAACATCTAACATGCTCAATTTCCTCCTGCTTAAATTACGTCTCGGAGTTAGTATAATAATCTATTTTGCAATATTACTACCGTGAACGCATTTTACATTGATTATATTATAAGTCGCGTGCATAATAAGCGAGATAATATAACCGCGCGTTTTAATAAGTCGTTCGTGATGCAATGATTCATTTAATTTTCTTCTCATCTTCGTCTAGCAATAATGACGATCCAACTGCAGATTGATTTCTCACGCGGGCCTCAGATTTGGCAATCAATATCCGAAATTTGGAATTGTCGCATACGAAAACGTCATGACGGTAACGATAACGATGTTCAATCGCGTGGGCAGCCTTACGCGCGGAATTAAGATTATAAATTGCTCAATCAAGGCCAGACCATGCGATTGTTTCATTAAAAAACAACTTTGCCTTTACAAGTAAATGTAACATCGATACTTCGAGGAAACTAATATTGCATTATGAATTAAAATAGAGGAAAAATTTTCATACATTATAAAAACGTAATAAATAGACGTAGAGTTTATTTATTCCGAAATTGAATATTTAACTGTCTGGGTCAGCGATTGATTTTCAAATTGTCTTCTGTCTTTTCCGATTTTTCCTCTACTCATTCTTATATAATATATAAAATTTGAAAGTCTGCAATTCTCTTTTTAAAATTTAGTCTCTCGCAAGTGTATTTAATTATAGATAGATTAATCAATATATTTTGCGACATTTATAATTTCCTTTTATTTCTATGTCAAGTAGAAAGAAGATTTAGAACGATCGATATAATTATGCTGCAATTTTCGATAAGGATCAATGTTAAATATCGCGAACTGTTGTTTGATCGATCGCGCGATCGCATTTGATATTCATTGTCTGATCAGCTGTTCTTTGCATCACGCATCGACCGACTAGTGAGGTCTGGAAAGCATGTTTCGTTTAATTACACGAGTTCTTGTAATCTTAACTTATGTCCAAGTCATCGGAAAACTTTGATGCATGGAATTCTCTGCCGCTTACCTG